AAATTTCTGGTAATCAAAGTACCTTTATCCTGAAAGTATCACCTAAACATATCTGATACTTAAACTACCGTATTTTCTCTAATAGTAGTGCACCCAGAGCGTCGCCTAAATTCCTCGAAATCTTGAGAACCTCTTATCAGAACCTATCGATGTGGCGTCGGAAAATGTAGCTGACGATGAGATCTAGTGAAGGATTTGAGTGTTGAGCTTTTGCGAAAGCTTGAAAACCGTAAAACAGTCACCAACTCGGTGTACTACGATTAGAGAAAATACCGTAAGTAAAATTTGAATAAGTTTAAGTTTTTAGTTTTTAAATAAAATAAGTTTTTAATCGTGTTTATAGTTCTAAATCTGATATTTATTGATTCGTTGAACGCAAAACATTTAAAACACTTGGCTGAGAAAGAAATGCTCATTGTTTCAACGCTTGTCAATTAAAATTAGGAAAAAATTTCGATAATCATATGTATTTCATAATTATTATTACAATTTCTCTACTAGAAATGATTTAATTCGGTTCACTGCGGGCTGAGATTTTAGCGGAGAGACGGACGAACGGACACTTATATAGCCTTTTATATAGTAGATATAATGTAATACAAATAAAGGCTACCTTCCGTATTTTCTCTAATAGTAGTGCACCCAGAGCGTCGCCTAAATTGCTCGAAATCTCGAGAACCGCTTATCAGAACCTATCGATGTGGGGTCGGAAAATGTAGCTGACGATGAGATCTAGTGGAGGATTCGAGTGTTGAGCTTCTGTGAAAACTTCGAAAGCCGTAAAATAGCCACCAACTCGGCTCGTTGGGGTGCACTACTATTAGAGAAAATACGGTATCCACTTTCTCTTAAAATCTCTGAATAGGATCCATAAAAACGGATGGGGATGTAAAGCCGAATAGTACCGATACCAAAAGTACCTTTCTTGTTCAACTTTGGCAAGCTTAGAAGATAAAATCTAGTGAAGGTAACTAGTGAAAGTCTAAACAAATCGAGTTTCAGTCAACAGATGAACAAAAACCCAATGAAATTCGTATTTTAAACAGTTTTCCCTCAAAAAATGAGATTGATTCTCGGTTTTCGACAATGCTAATCACATTTAGAAAACTAGTTTTAAATTATGAGCTGAAAAGTTTATAAATACTATTTAGTTAGTGAAAAAATCACGTCTAACCCTCTAGATTTGATTTAATTACAAACTTAATTACTTTAATTGCAAATCGTCATTTTTAAACGTTTAGTCAAACTGTGCTATGCCATTGGCTTTACAAGTTCTATCATTGAACAAACGATTTCAAATAATTGTCTTGTTTCTTTTCTGATTTTTCTTATCAATTGCCTGCTTTTTGGTGAACTTTCGACATTTCTAACTAGTTATTTTTGGTTAAATTTTCTGATTTCATTGATTTCATTGATTGAAATCATTTTTTTAAAATCTTAACATTAGGTTTTATAAAGAAAACTTTCTTTGAAACTTTTTTTATTAGCTTGTTTAGCTTTTTTTGAAAAGAAACTTTGTTTATTAGCTTCTTTTAAAGGGTAAATCTCAAATCTTTAAGGTAAATGTTTCAAATTTGTAAGTTATAAATGCGCACAATTGGCTTTTTAATGATTCTTAAAAGATTGTGAACCTAAAACTTGTGCTATTTGGCTTCATAATCTAAAATTTTCCAAGAAAATACTCTATTATTTATCGAGTTATTCAGTATTTATTTAATATTATTCAATTTCTTGTTTATAGTGTTTTTGTTATAAAAATAAGCAGAAACCACTGCTTATTTTGGGTTATTTTGAGTTATTAGGTTGGTGAATTGAAAACTGCGGGACTTTGAACTAAAATTTATTCAACATAAAACCATAAATTCGTTCCAAATAATTTCCATTATTATTGACGACTTCTGCCCATTTTACAGGCAATTTGCGGATTCCTCTTTCTTTGTAGGAATTTGGTTTGTGTGTGAGACAAGTGTGAGACTCAAAAATGGAGGACTGGAGATGTCGAGATGTCCCAGTTTGAGCTTTCTTCAAAAGAAACCCATTTTGGTGTCAATAGAAAAGTTGTAGAGAATCAAAAATTAGGCTTATAGCCAAATTTCCAAAAAGATACACTTAGTAGTTTCGCTTAAAATGCAAGTTTTGTGAAAATTCGTAAATTTGGCATTCCTTGAAAACCAGTTTTTGAATCGTTCTGAAAACTTGGATATAAGCTTGATTTTTGATTCTCTACAACTTTTCCATTGACACCAAAATGGGTTTCTTTTGAAGAAAGTGCTCAAACTGTCACATATGACAATAGTCGGCAGTTTTCAATTCACCAACCCAATATTTGCTATAACAACTCCTTATTTTATGTCATTTTAAGTGATTTTCTTTTACTTCTTCTATCGTAAGTCATTACCTATTTTGCACTAAACTTTTTGACTGATAGTCCAGCGCTATTTTATAAATTTAACCTTTTAAAGCTTGCCTTTTTCTCCGAATACCCTAAAAATTCCTTTCTCACCTCATTTCTCTAGCATTTCATCGATCTTTCCCCTGTCACAAATCCATTTCACATTTCTATTTTCATTGACCGCTTTTCCATACAAAAAAGGAAACCTTCCCTTTTTTCTTGATTGAAAGAGATGAATCGCTTTCTTTTTTCGTTTCTTTTCAGGAACAAATTACTGTATGAAAATTGAGAGCTCAAGAGATTAGTGGGAAATTTTTAAGCATAAAACTAAACATTATTAACAGAGAACAGGTAAAGCAACTTTAAAAAGAAAAAAGACAATCAGAATCGAACCAGTGCCTCGCCCTCGAAGCTCTCGCCTGGCGTCCTAACTCATTACCAGTCGACCACAGCTGCAACCAATCAACTCCCGGAAGACAGGCTTGTAATGTCGCGGTTTAATAGCTTCTTACAAAAGTTTAAACGTGTATAGCTTTTAACAGAGTGCTCGATAGCAAAAAAAGGCAGCATCATGATTAGCGTGAAATTCTGCGTCTAATGGTTTGGTTAGCAAATCCAGTTGGCCTTCCCGTGTAAGCTAAAAACTAGATTTAAAATCTCAGTTTCAATTTTGAGGTAATAGTTAAGAAGGAATCCAGGGAATGCTCTGTTGATTGAAATTTTGCACTTTTTTTCATGTTTTAAAGTCAAAAAGTCAAATAAAACCGCCTCAAAAGAAAAATTCTATATTTTCTTTCAAAGAAAAGCTGTTTTTAAGTTCAAATTTCAAATTTAAAGTTAACAGAACAAAATTCGACTCATTGAAAAAACGATGTTTCAAAGTTAAAAAGAAGAAAATTTCCTTCAAAGGTTTAGTTCTAAAAGATGAAATTTCACTTAATTTAAGCTGATTTTAAGCTGATTTCAAGCTGACCATTTCAATTCTCAAACCCAATACCGTAACTTTGCAAAAAAACTAAACCAGCAAATATTTCTCTTTCCAAGTTATGCTTAATCGTCGAGTCGAAGAGTATATTTGTTCACGTGTATGCAAATGAGCTCTCGGTCTCCTCTTCGCTTATTCCCCAATTTCCTCGTCTCAAACAACTTTACAGTCGATGATCGTCGGCTTTTTTTTTTTCGATTCATTCGCTTTCATCTTTCTTAACTATCAGCTCAAAATTGAAACTAAGATTTTAAATCTAGTTTTTAGCTTACACGGGAAGGCCAACTGGATTTGCTGGCCAAACCATTAGACGCAGAACGCTTCACGCTAATCATCAGGCTGCTTTTTTTTACGATCGAGCACTCTGTCAAAAGTTATACGCGTTTAAACTTTTGTAGAGAAGTTATTAAACCGCGACATTACAAGCCTGTCTTCCGTGGGCTAAACAATTGCAGCTGTGGCTGACTGGTAATGAGTTAGGACGGAGAACGAGGGCTCGGAGGGCGAGGCGCTGATTCGAGCCCGGTAGCTGATTGTCTTTTTGTTGTTAAAGTTGCCTTGCCTGTTCTCTGTTAATAATGTTTAGTTTTAACTAACTTAACTTTATTTCTCTTTCAAGATATGCTTAATCGTCGAGTCGAAGAGTATATTTGTTCACGTGTATGCAAATGAGCTCTCGGTCTCTCCTCTTCGCTTTTCCCCAATTTCCTCGTCTCAAACAACTTTACAGTCGATGATCGTCGGCTTTTTTTTCTTCGATTCATTCGCTTTCATCTTTGCCGAATCTTTTATTGTGAAAGTCTTGAAAGTCTTCATCTTCATGGCATTCATTTATTTGTCACGCCAAACACTCAATATTTTGATTCTTGTTAATTAAATTGGCTTTTAAACTTATAACTCTAATAATAAATTAGATCTCATTTAGTTCAGCCATCATTTTTAAAATCCACCTTTCTTTTAACTTTTACTTTTATCCACTTTTAAATCCACTTTTAAATCCACTTTAAATCCATTTAATTCTAAGAAGTCTAAAAAGTCTGAAAAGTTATTTTACAATCTAATTCATGTGTTTTAATCTTAAATCTAGCGCTTAAATCTTAAATACTTTATTTCAGGTTCTGAATAAAGTATCTATATATCTATATAATTGCAGCGATTTCCTCACCTCCATCGTATCGTAGATCGTAGATCAACTCAATTCTTTTTTGCTCAAGATCAAACTCAATCTAGCTCATTTAATGTTCAATTCAAGATTACAATTCAAGAAAATTGAATCCCAAAAATTGTAGCAAATCAAATGAAAAGAGCCACCTGTGAATGGGGGTGGAGGTTGACACCCATTCAATTGCACCCATAACAGGAGTGGGGCGGGGCTTCGAGCGGGTGGGCACCCCGAGCGCTCGAAGAGAGGCAAAAATTCCCTCTTCTATTAGCCTTCAACCGTTTTATCTATTCACCCTTTTACTCTATTCCAGATGATTTTGAAACTCACTTTCTCACCGGTTATGACCTTGTTTTCCCTTTTTTTAAATAGTGATTTCAAAACCGTTTACAGGCTAAATTCGTCAACATTTCGTCAAGATCCACTTTTTTTTTCTTTTTTTATTTATTCTCTGAATTTCAATGTTGTTGTTGAGGCTCGGATTGATTGTCTTGCTTCAAGTTACTGTAAGTTTTCAGTAACAAAAGCTATTGATTTTTGTTTAACATGGTAGAATTTGTGGAAAAATATATAGAAAATTGTCAAAATTAAGGCTAGACTGAGAATTCGTTTTTATTCGAATCTTTTACTATAAAGAAACCATGAAAACATTGAAAAAACTTGAAAAAATTCGACTTAAAGTCGAAAAAGATGAAAGAAATCTTGAAAGAAAAGCCTTTAGAACGCGTCGATTGCCACTTTTGAGGTGAAACTCTTGAAGAAGAGTGATTTTGAAATGGTGGATTCGATTGAAACGATCAAATTCTGTTTGCGGCCATTCGTCGAGCTGTCGATCATTCACGAGGAATGTCCGCTTGGTCAAAGAATCATCAGAAAAAAGTGGGTTTCAAGAAATTTGATAAAAGAAATTAGAAATTCGTCAAACCATTTTCAAAAACTCCTTTTCTTTTTCTTTTCCTTAAAAGCTAACCGTTGAGAATAAGTCTTAAATTGCCCCTTTTGCCATTGGCATTCCAACTTTAAGCTCAAATATCTTGGTGTTGAGCCGTTCAATTGAAATAGTTTTTATACCAATCGACAGAGAAAGACTTGGCACATCCAATGATACCAAGAGCATTTAAATTGAACAGCCCAACATCAGGATATTTTAGCTTAAATTTGGATTGGCAATGGCAAACAGGGCGGAGCGACGGAGCTTTTATACGCGTCCCGCCCCTTTTGCCATTGGCAAACCAACTTTAAGCTTAAATATCTTTGTTTTGGAATGTCCAATTTAAACAGTTTTTATACCAATCGATAGAGAAAGACTTGACGCATCCAATGATACCAAGAATCAAAATTTTTGAGTTTAAATTGAGCAGAAAGGTTTCAATGTAAGTTCATGTCCCATCAGATCCTATTTTTTTGACAGCTTTTCAATTCTTAAACTGTTAAAATTGAAATTCAAAATTTTGAGTTTCACTGCGAGCAGATTTAGCTTAATAGGAAGTAAATTAATGTATAGCATTCATTCAAAGAAAATCAGCCAAATGAATAGTTCAATTTGCAGCGATTTTCTCACCTTCACTACGATCCAAATCCCACTCCCGCCGAGGATCCACGTTTGGCAGGTTCGACAATTTTGTAGCTTTTTAGTATTGTGAATGAAGGAAATGAAAGACTTTAAAGATTTAAAGACTTAAAGACTTAAAGACTTATAGTTGCCTTGTTTCCTTAATTTGCTTTTAGTAATAGTTGCCAAACTGAAAAATTAGTCAATTTATTTTGGCAGATTGGCTGTGAGAATTGTTCTGTATCACAAGTAATTCAATCGACGATTAAAAGTTGAAAAGAAATTTGATAGTCAAGAAAGTTGAAACCTTTTGTTTTCCATTTGAACTGTTGACTTTTTTGGTGAGAAAGCAAAGAAAAGAAAGAATCTTTTGCATTCAAAGAATTTCGATTTCCAAAGATTTTGCAATTTTTCGATACCGATTGAGATTCCAGAATCAATCCGATAGCGGCTAATGTTGAGCCAATTGTCACTTCTGAATCTGAAATTTTTAGCTCTTATCTTTCAACTCTTGTAGTTTCCAATATAAACTTCTAAAAAGTCATTTGATCATTTGGCAGCTTTTCTAGAGATTTCTAGAGATGATCTCACGCAATTATCAAATGCTTTCGGTGCTTTCGATGCTTTCGATTTGTATGCTTTTGAAATTTCGTCTAAAACTTTAAAACATTTCTTCCGTCTCTCGTTCTTCCTTTTCTTTCTCTTTCTTCCTTTTCCTCCTCTTTCTTCACTGGCAAGAAGATACCAAATAGCTCAATGATTAGAGGATCTGCCTGGAAAGCAAAAAGCGGTGGAAAGTGAGAGTTCAATCCGCTCTCCAGAAACCTTGCTATTCCTTACTTTATATAACTTATTGATGGCTAGATTTAACGGAAATTTCTTGTTTAGAGTAATTCTATTTTTTTAAATCTCTTTGTTCACTACGGAACCTCATCAAATCGACTCAATGAGGTGTGAGTTTCACGGAAATTGAAAACAGATTCTTTTCGAGTCACTTGTACATCTTTAAACGACAGTAAAATGTGGTAAATTGAAAATGAAAACAAAATCAAAAATTATAGCAAAATTTTCTAGGGAGGCTACGCTCTTCTCGTCAATGTCACCTTTACGAATCGAGGTTTGATTTTGAGAATATTTTGCGCACAATTTTGACTTAAAACTCGATGAAAGAAAGTAAAATGAAAGTGGGGGAAGAATTTGAAGAAGAATGATTAAAATTCTTTGGCTTTAGTTGACCTAAAAGTGAAGCTTTGCCTTTTTCTCTAGTGAGATTTTCTAGATTTCTAGATTCTAGAAACAAGCTTTTTAAGACAAATCTTGTTTCTAATTGCTTTGAAATTTGTTTTTTATGACTTTTTATGACTTTTTATGGCTTTTTTCCTTGGCTTTCATCTGATTACTGATTTCTAAACTTGTGGAAAAAAGCAAGTTTCAAATTCAAGTATCTAAATTTTAATCCAATCTCCTTAATGCTACCAGGATTGAAGCCAATTGCTTTGAAGTCAATTGTAAACACCCTTTCTGGCGCTGTCAATTCTTCATTTTCTCACAACAATTGGTGTACATTGGTGTACAAGAAAAATAAAAAAAGCAGTGCATTAGAGAGGATGCGTTTACAAATTTGAGCTTAAAGTATGGACGAGTTTAAAAACAACAAATCACTTGGAATTCAATCAATCTTTTCGATAAAACAACTTGTTGTGTCATCAGGAAATTGTCGGCACGAGTGGGTAATAAAGATCGTTATCAACGACACGATTGACCACAAAAAGAGGGAAAACAATTGGGGGAAAAAGGGCTAGAATGGGTAAAAAGAGTGCGGAGCAGATGTGAATGAGAGGGGAATTTGAGGAGAAAGACTGTGTGGCACGCAATTCCATTGCCCACCATTTTCCTGAGGTTTTTTTTTCTATTTTAGGCTGGTTTTTCCCAACAAAATCCACCTGGTAAATGGTGGAAATCATTTGAAAACAAAATTTTTGTGAAAAGTCGCTAAATAAAAAGATAAGTTTCAAAATAGACAAAAAATAGAAAAATAGATAGAGAGATCTAGAATTCATAAATTAGATTGTAAAACTTGAAAATGAGCTTTTAAAACGTTTTTTAAATCAAAAAATGGTCAGAATGATCAAAAAATACTCAAAAATGGTCAGAAAAAGATGATCAAAAACTCAGTGTTTCAAGTTTAAAGTAGTTCAATAGACGGGTTTCTTTTTAATGATCTCAAGGTAAAAAATAATTTTAAAATATAAAAATCTATCAATACTGAGAATAATTTAGTTCATTTTGAATGCCTGACGACTTTAATTTGAAAGAATTTGATAGTTTAGAGTTGCAAAAGCTAGTTGATAAAACAGATTCCAAACGTAGTCAAAAATTATTCTGAAAGCCTCTTAAACACATTTTAAATAAATCTTTTGCATATTAGCTCAAAGCACGACCTCGTTTTGCCAATGGCAAAGGAGGCCGAGCGCGTATAAAAGGTCAATCGCCACGCCCCTTTTACCATTGACAATCCAACTTTAAGCTCAAATCTCTTGGTATTGGGTGGTCCAATTGAAATAGTTTTTATACCAATCGATAGAGAAAGTCTTGGCGCATCCAATGATACCAAGAACATTTAAATTCGACAGCCCAACATCGAGATATTCGAGCTCAAAGTTAGATTGCGAATGGCGAACGGGGCAGAGCGACGGACCTTTTATACGCGCCCGGCCCCTTTTCCCATCAGCAACCTGACTTTGAGCTCAAATGTCTTTGTGTTGGGCTGTTTAATTTCAATAGTTTTTATATCAATCGATAGAGAAAGACTTGGCACATCCAATGATACCAAGAGCATTTAAATTGAATAGCCCAACATCGAGGATATTCGAGCTTAAATTTGGATTGGCGAATGGCGAACGGGGCGCGGCGCCTATCAAATGTCCGATAACCCCAATTTTTGCTTAGACGCATTGTAATTTCTTTTCCGAGGCCAGAGACTCCTAATATTCAACTCACCAACCCAATAGATCGATGTTCTGTGGTTCAATTTCCCCCTACAATCATAGTATTTTCAAATCAATTTTGTTCAATTTCAAACATACTCCGGGGTCAAATTGCGCAAATTTTAACTCAAATTTATCATTTTCTTTTTCCTTTCTACAATACTCTTCCTTCTTTGTGGCAGTGATTGCTTGACCTCCACAAAACACGGATCGGCACACGCCAATTGTTTGCCAATGGGGATCATAAAATAAAGGCCTTTAGTTGATAAGAGGGCAATCACTGTCCCAATATGGCTACTTGTTGTCGTCAATCTTAAAGATCAAACGAGTGCCAAGTTACATTGAAAAATCGAGAGCAAATCATCATTTTAAGCGTGATTTTCTCATTAGTTTCGCATAATTTTTCAATTTTGCTAGCTTAGCTAAAATTTTATTAAATCAACAAACATTAGAGATCTGTCAATGCTTTATTTGAATTTAAATCTCATTTTTTACCTAAGCTCGATTTAACTCTGATTTTTTTTATTTTTAGTAATTTAGATAAGCTTAGAAACAGTTTATTGGATAAATTTTGAAACATAGTGAAAATCTAAGAGTTTATAGTAAATTTTCAATTGAATACCGTGTTTTCTCTAATAGTAGTGCACCCCGGCGAGCCGAGTTGGTGATTTTACGGTTTCCAAGCTTTTGCAGAAGCTCAACACTCAAATCCCCCACTAGATCTCATCGTCAGCTACATTTTCCAACCCTACATCGATAGATTCTGATAAGTGGTCCTCGAGATTTCGAGGAATTTAGGCGACGCTCTGGGTGCATTATCTTTTTTACTTTGCCAGAAAAAGCTTTGTATTGAAGAAAGTGTCAAAATTACGACTTTGGCTGGAGTTTTGGGTGCTACCACATTTTCCACAAATCCACAAAAACAACTACCGTATTTTCCCTACCGCCGAGCCGAGTTGGTGACGATTTTACGGCTTCCAAAGTTTTCACAGAAGCTTAACACTCAAATCCCCCCCTAGATCTCATCATCAGCTACATTTTCCGACCCCACATCGATAGGTTCTGATAAGCGCTTTTCGAGATTTCGAACAATTTAGGCGACGCTCTGGGTGCACTATTATTATTATTAGAGAAAATACGGTATTTGCTAAAAACTATTGAACTATTGAAGACGAGAAATTTGATAATCGCCTTTTTACTTGAGCTTCTGCTTACTAGTTTAGTATTCGAAAGTTTTATGGAAAGGATTTCTTTATTTCTTCACATTATTTCTTTAAAGCAAACCATTTTCTATCCAGTGTACTGTTAAAAAAAGTTTGATTCTTGAATTTTTCAGCTACACTCCAACTGCGTACCATCGGGAATCTAAGCGGCTATGGAGAATGGAAAGATACGCAATTACGAGAAATCAATGAAAACGTTTACCTGAAAGGATCGACTCGTTTAATTTGCACAAGGTAAATCTTGAAAGTTTTCTGAAAAGCCATCTGAAAACAAATAAGATTTGGTTAAGAAATGACGCTGAAATTTCTCAATAAAATCAATGCTGGTGTACTTTAAGACTTTACAGTATCTGTTGGCTAAAATCTAGAAGATTATTAGATTAAGATATTATATTTTTTATATTTCCAGCGGTTTCTACGGTCCCCGATGCAGTCGTCGATGCTTGGAGACGGAAAAATATAAATGCTCGCCCGATGGCATAAAAGTTTGCACTCCCGAATGGACTGGAGATCAATGTGAAAAGGGTGAGTTTCAAAATGTTTATTTGAACGTTATTTGTTTATTATTTAAACAAAAATTTGAAATTATTAGGCCGATGGGTAAGAATTCGATTGATTTCTATTGTCGCTAGTTTTTCGATTGATTTCTAAACTCGTAAATGAAAGGCTGTTGGGTGAAACTGATAAAGTCGAGCACAGAACACTTTCCCAAGAATAATAGCTTCCTCACTTTCTGTTATTTTGAAATTTCGTAACTTTTCCTATGGCTATTGGTAGTCTGCCACCTAGATATCGTTATGTTGTACGGATTTCTTTCTATTCGACATTAGAAATCAAGTGAATATTTCTACAAGAACATAAGGGCTTCTAGTGTTCAGCTAATATTAAAAATGTTTATGTGGAAGGATCAGCTACACTCAGGAAATGTGCAAACTGGTTTTGTTAAATTCTGGAGATAAATCTTCAAAGAAAAAGGGTCATTCAATAGTCCAGCTGGATGCCAAGTTGCTCCAAATTCTTCTAACCAATAACAGGCTTTCTTTCCGCGAAATAGCAGAGGAGTTCTGTTCTGATAGAAAAATCCTCGAACAATTGCATAAACTTGGGTTTAAGTCGTATTAGAGACTTGGATTTCACATTTAACGGGCATAACGGATTTAACGGACACCAAGCAATGTAGCCGTGCTCAAGTGCACCCTTTCCTAATCCGTTTTCTAAAATATCTCCCCTCTCCCTTTCTACCGTAATCTCGCGAAAGCGCTTTGCTATCTTTTTTTAAGCCCATTGAAAATGATTAGAATCCATTGAATAGGAGGAAAAAAAGCACAGAGTCTATTCTTGGCACCTCCAACTGTGAAACACGTGTTTTTTGACCTAAAATTGCCATTGGCTTTTCTGGAATGAATACCCGGAAATCAAAAGCGGCTTTTCTTTTCCTTTTTTTTCAGATTTCTCACTATAAAAGGATTGAACTGATCATTGAGAAGGGAAGAAATGAAAAGAAAAGAAAAGAAATGAATGGTTGTCACACTTCTGACATTATCTTATCCCTTTGACTTTACCGATAGATATTTTGACATTGTAGATCCTTTTTTCTAGGGATATGACTCAAATTTGTAAACCCATTCTTTCTAGTGTACTCAATTTTACATTTTTCTTTTGAAATTGGACATTATTTTGAGAAAAATGAAGAGCTAAGTGCACCAGAAATGGTGTGTTTACAAATTTGAGTCATATCCCTAGAAAAAAGTATCAATGTCAAAATATCTATCGGTAAAGTCAAAGGGATAAGAAAGTTTCAAAAGTGTGGCAGCCATTCATTTCTTTTTTATTTCTTTTCATTTCCCCCTTCTCAATGATCAATTCAATCCTTTTAAAGTGAGAAATCTGAAAAAAAGGAAAAGAAAAGCCGCTTTTGATTTCCGGGTATTCATTCCAGAAAAGCCAATGGCAATTTTAGGGCAAAAAACACGTGTTTCACAGTTGGAGATGCAAAGGATAGACTCTGTGCAATAATTCCTTCTATTCAATGGATTCTAATCATTTTCAATAGGCTTAAAAAAGATAGCAAAGCGCTTTCGCGAGATTACGGTAGAAAGGGAGAGGGGAAATATTTTAGAAAACGGATTAGGAAAGAGTCTTAGGAAAGAGTCTTTCTTTTTATTTCTTTTCATTTCTTCCCTTCTCAATGATCAGTTCAATTCTTTTATAGTGAGAAATCTAAAAAGAAAGGTAAAGAAAAGCTGCTTTTGTTTTCCGGGTATTCATTTCAAAAGTTTGATAGTTTCCGTCTATGACCTCGTCTTAGTAATCGTTTTCAAAGGAATAAGTTCTTTATTTTTAAAAACATAAACACAAAAATGTCTATCGTCTATTTTAGAAAAAAACTGGATTAGCTAGATTGAGTCAAATTTGAGATTGCTTAAATTGAAACTTCAATTTTTACATCAAAAATCGTTTCAATGATTGTTTTAAATTGAATTCAAATTCGACATTGAGAAGAAGATTATATATAGGTTTTTTTCTCAAATCTTTCTTTTCAGCTTTTTGCCCATCTGGCTGCAATAATGGCACGTGTTCTTTGCCGGGGAAATGCCGATGTGATCCGGGATTTTCTGGGGAGAAATGTGATCAGGTGAGGATTGAAATATACATTTGTATATGATGTGTCCGATTTAGATTGAACTTATCGCGGACGTCCGATTTAGATTACAGTCTATATCGGATGTCCGATTTAGATTCAATCTAAATCTTACATAGATTGAACAATAATACGTCTTATATAGATTGAACAATAATATAAACATGCTTAATATATGTTCTTAAGCCTTTTCTGTAGTTTTCTGCATTTTTCAAAGGTCTGTTACTGTCTTTTTCTGAAAAGAAAACCCAACTATGAAACTATGAACTTATCGCGGACGTCCGATATAGACTGTAATCTAAATCGGACGTTCTAAATCGGACACAACATATACATTTTTATACATTGTATACATTGTATTTTAATTTCTAAAATCTCAAGTACGTTTTAATAATGATATTTAGCTATTCAAGCTATTTAAATTATTAACTGAATACTTTTTTTACTTCAGAATACTGAGTGAGATTTTGGGATAATGAGATTTTGGAAATGAATGTTTTTTTTGAGAAAGCCACTAGGGCCATTACATTTTAAATCATTAAATTACATTTAAACATTTAAAATCGTACGTTAAATCATCACCAATATATTTAAAATGCATAAAATTTAACATTAAAACTTGAGATTTTTTATTTAATCAAGTGCCAGTTTTGCTTGATAAAAAACCATCCAAAAAAATCGTATAGCTGCTTGGAAAATTCTTGTTAGAAACATTTAAATTAATCAAAAAAACATTCAACATTTAGTGTAAACCGGTAAGTGGATGTGCCCATGGGAAATGCGCGAACGGACAGCCGAACACGTGTCAATGCGAAAAGGGATGGAGTGGACCGCTTTGTGATTATGGTAAGGGGAAATGGAAATCGGTAACACTAGGAAAAGATTGATGCACTTAAAAGATCGATGCACTTAAACTTTCTCAAAAATCTCGATAATTGAAGATAAAAGTAGTTGTAAGACTTTTTTATCCGTGTCTGCGGGGCTGAACCGTGAGAAACAATTGCTTTTTTGCTTTTGGACTTTGTTGCTTTTTGACTTTGACTAAAACCTAGCTTTTTTTCCTCTTAAACAATTGGATATTGATTTTGATAAAGGTGAACAGCAGAACAGCTTGAGAAATTGTAAAAATGATTGCCAGAAACGAATTCCCTGTGTTGGAAAGCCGCGCAATGCAAATTCCCAGCGTAAAATGAAAATCGCACTCATGGCGCAGTGGCTAGCGCCTTCGCCTCTAGAGTGTGTTCCTTTCGAGTGAGTAATTCCTCGAGTAAAATTTGCAGGAGCAATTTTTACTCGATTAATCGACGTTTTTTCGCCGAGTAATTACCAGTAATCCTCTTTATCTCTTCTCTTTACCCAATCCTCTTTACACGTCGAGTAAATTGAATATCTTTACATTGGAAGGGAATTTCCGACCAAATCAGCTAAACGGCTGAGTATCTTTCAAAAGTGTCGTAAATAATGCGGCGCTCGTCATTTTTGCGTCATTTTTTGCAATAATTTTCGCTAAAAGTACGATAATTTTGCAATAATTAATTACTTACTCGAAAGGAAAACACTCTAGAGGCGAGCGCGCTATCCACTGCGCCATGAGTGCATTTTAAAAAACGCATTACTCGGGAGGAATACACTCTAGTTTGGATACCCGTGCGGGTCATGGTTGGGCACAATTGAAGGGAATTTCCCACCAAATCAGTCAAACAGCTGAATATCTTGAAAAGGAATCGTATATAAGTGGGCGCTCGTGATTTTTACGTCATTTTTTTGCAAAAATTTTCGCTAAAAGTACGATAATTCCCAAGTGTGCGCTCTAAAAAAGGCATTACTTGCGAGGAATACAATTAAAGAAATACGCTCGCCTCATGCCTTACATGATCCGGGTTCGACCCCGGCTTGTGTACCTATTTTGACTTTTTGCAAAAATTTTTTTAAAAGGCACAACTACATGGAATTTTATTAGACACGTGTTTCAGTGTTTTTTTAAAATACTCAAAGGGGATGCGCGTATTGCCCGCACAGACAGACAGAGATTCTTTTTTTAGATATACTAGAGATTAACAACTTTAAGTTGTTCTTAAAGTTGACTTTCTATTTCTAATAATTTACAAGCACATTGCTTACGCTCAAAAGAAATGAAACGCTTTGTGCTTTGTGCGTTTTGTGACACAAACTGACACAAACTGACACAAACTGACACAAACTGACACAAACTGACACAAACTGACACAAACTGACACAAACTGACACAAACTGACACAAACTGACACAAACTGACACAAACTGACACAAACTGACACAAACTGACACAAACTGTGACACAAAGATAGCACAAAGATTAGAGATAACAACACTAACAACACCATCCAATTTCCATTTGCTTTTTCATATCACTTAAGTTGAAACATGGTTTTTTGTAAGTGAAAATCGAAAGTTTACAATTTTTTTAAACAATTTAACAACAATTTATATTAATTTGAAAGTCAACTTGAGTATTTTAGCTTTTATTTTCGAAAGAAACACATTTTCAGACCTCGAGTACTGTACTAGAAACGAGCCGTGCGAAAACGGGGGACTCTGCCGGAACGAGGGCCCAAAACAGTTCACTTGTGAGTGTCCGCCCGGATACTCTGGACAAAAGTGAGTATTAAATCATTGATAAACCCAAAACAATCTATTTTAACTAGTCAATTCATTGAGTTTGTAAAATTCTAATCATTATGCAAAAATTTTCTAGTTTCAAATTGGTGGGTGTTTAAACTAAGATGCTAGATTTAATAAAAAAAAAGCCCTTAGAAAACAGTAATACAGTAATTTTGAGTAATTACTAGAGCAATGCTACAGTAATACTAAAGTAATGCTCAGAGTAATGCTACAGTAGTTTTGAACCTTTCAAGATTAGTCAACAATTAAATCATTATTAGTTAAGCGCCATTTTTCGAGTCGAACACTTTGAAAATTCACTGGGAAACCTGTAAGGATTTTACACCAAAATCAAAGTAAATCAAAGTAATCAAAGTTTAAAAACCATTTCAAAGTTTCAAAAATCAAAATCACTTCTTTATTAATTTGCTATTAGTTTTCTATTAGTTAGTTCTTTCTTTTGCTTTCAGATGCGAGATCCCAGTCGCAAATCCGTGTCTCGTCGAGGGAATTTGCTCGAATGGTGAGTGAAATCGGGCTTTCAAAATCGGGCTTTCAAAAGTTCATGGATCTATGAGCCGCTGGGATAAGCTAATTGGGATAAGCCAGTGTAGCTAATTGGTAAAGCGTTTGTCGGGTAAACGTCTGCTAAACGTCTGGTAAGCGTCTGCTAAAAGAGGAGTCGCGGGTTCAAATCGATCATTCGATAAATCCCATCTCAAACCAATAAAATGACTAGTTTGATTCTAACTGTAGCTAACTATCTAATCGCAATTTCGGTAAATCCATTTGCATTCGAATATTTCATGTTTCAAAAGGCATAAGACTAGAGTAGAATGGGCTCAAATAATAACAGAGTCCCCATCCATTTTTCAACCTTATTGAATCTGACCGAGGTCGAATTGACTTCTGAGCAAACGCATTTATTTTTGCAAAGTTGAAACTCAATTATTTTTATTTTCAACAAAAGTTTAAACTATTAGTTTAGCTAATTCTTTTTTAATAAAATATATATTTATTTATTTAATTTAAATAATTAAATTAAATTAAAATTTCAAATTCGACAATTCCTTTGCAAGTTTTTAAATCCCAATTCAACTCGAAAACTCCAAAGTCGTTGTTCGGCTTTTTTTTTTCTGAAAGATTTCCTTATATTTGCACAGGTGTCAGCAATTTCAAAGCCAGTTTTCATGTTGTTTTTTTGCGAAAGAAAGGAACCGCCTAATGCAAAAAGCAATGTTTCAGTCGGGTGCCATATTATTGCCCTTTTCTTGAATGAATGAAAGAAGAGAAATCCCATCAACAAACGAGACACACACACGTGCCCGTTGTAAAGGCCATAAAAAGTGAAGGGGATTTCTTTTCGGGCTACAGTAATCGTAATCCTTTTTTCTAGTAGGGTACTGTAAAAAGTTGGATAGTCGGCTGCATTCTCTGTCGATTGGTACAAAAACTATTTCACAAACAACCCAACACCAAGCTCAAAGTTGAGCTCAAAGTCGGATGAAAGTTGAGCCCAAAGCTCAAAGATTTCAGCTCAAAGTTGATCTCAAAGCTCAAAGTATTCCTAGCTCAAAATGATTCAGTCAAAAGAGTGAATATCCCGCAGTTCTTCTAGTTTCTAGTTAACTGTAAAATGAAGAGCTCTTGGATCACCCTTTAGCCGTCTAGCTGTCTAGCTGTCTAGCTCTAGATACCCATTATTAGCTAGCTGAAGCTCAAGTTGGTTACAAATTTCAGTTAAACGGTTTTTCGATTAGTTTCAAAATGAGCGCCTACTCTTGTCCAGTTAAACATCTAATTCTTCTAGTCAAAGTCATCTTGACAAATCGAGTGATTAAAAAAGAGTTAGATCTAGACTAAATTAAGATTTTCTTTCCAAATCTAGGCTAAATTAAGATTTTGTATTGTTATTTGGTTCTAAATGACACAAAAATGCCAAAAATTGACGATTGAAGATTGACGATTGACGCGTGCTGGTTGTAAAAGACTAGGGCCTTGCTGACAATAAGTACCCATTTTGCGATGAAACCTTTTGTTTCAAGATTCACAATAACATTGCCCAGTTATTCTTTTCAATTCTTAACAGCCCTAAAACCAAAAATCATTAGTGAAAAGAATGAAAGACTGTAAAAGGACAATAAAGTTTATAGAATCATTTCTAAAAGAAATGAAGAAATGAAGAAATGAATGAAATTTCTAAAGAAATTCGCTGAAAACTGGGGACATTCAAAATGAATATCTACTTAAATTCAAAAATATCCAATTCTTTTACTTTAAAAGCTTTAAAGTTTGATTTTTCTGTAAAATTTTACCAAATGGCACATTTTACAGTAAAATTTGACTATTAACTCAATTCCATTGTTAATTAATCTCTTCCCAGTTCAATAATCGTTTTATAGCAAGTAAAACTAGCAAATTTCAATTTAAAGCCGACACTTTGCCGCAATTTTGACAATATTTTGACAATACTTTTGCCCATAACAAAGAGATTCATAAAAGCTCTAAAAAGCAAATGAAATAAACAAATTAAGCCTCGAAAAGCAAAAGTAAGCAAAAAAATATCAAAACCTTTAGAAATCTCATTTCAATAACTAAATTGGAATCTTTAAAACATCTTTAAAACTCCTTTAAAAACAAAAATCCGAAAAATCCAACTTGGACCCGATAAATTTTGAAACATCCTTTTCCTAAATGACTAGAAGTTTGACCAGAAGTCTAAAAATAGCAGGAAGTTTTCAAAAAAATCAAACTATTTAAAGGTAAATATTTTCAGGTGGAAAGTGCTCATCACCTGCTCCGGGCGCTTATAAATGCGATTGCCCAAATGGTTTTTCTGGGGAACACTGCCAAATTGCGAATTTTCAACCAACGATCAACCCGTGCTTGGTAAGGAAAATCATTAAGCCAAATTGTTAAAAGATTTGCAAAAATTGATAACTATATGGTTTTGTATGGTTCGTCTGGTTTCAAGATTGATTGGCAAAAATTGCTGAGCTATTTGTTGGCTATTTGCTGAGCTATATCCTAGTTGGGGGGTTTCATTTCAATTTTCGATTCAATTCAATTCAATTCAAAATTTAATTCAATTTCCCAACATTTCATAGCTTTTTTGCACTTTATTCTTAGCATGATTGAAATTAAATTGATCGTTGATTGACCGATTAAATTGATCGATTAAATTGATCGATTAAACTGATCGATTAGACTGATCGATTAAATTGCTCGATTAAATTGATCGATTAAATTGATCGAATTCGAATTAAGCGAAAACCTGATTAAAAAATTTGATTTCCGTTTTACCTTTTGAACTTTGAAACATGCTTTTTTTGTGTGTAGCTTTTCCCGTGTTAAGATTACGATAAATTTTGATTAAAAGTCTTAGTCACACTTTTCTTTTTGCAGATTTTTTTATTTTAAAAATCAATTTCTCAATGAATACTTCTTTTAGAACTTATAGATCTTTTCATATCTTTCTTTTCAGCTGAATCCTTGCCAAAATGGAGCCACGTGTCTGGAAATCGCCGAAATGGCCAAATGTCGATGCTTGCAGGGATTTTACGGGAGATTTTGTGAATTGGTAAGGAAAACAATCAATACTAAGAATAAAATATCAAGGAAACAATGAGGAATACCCTATAATACTCTAATAAAACGACCCCCCTAAAGGAGCATCGTGTAGTCTAAGTTTACTCTCAAACAAACGCTCATATCTTGACACCGGTATGCTTGTTTCTGCGTGCTTTGGTATCAAATTAAAGTAGAGAAAATGGGCGATTTTTTGAGTTATACCACAGTTTTTCAGCTTTACCCAGTGCTTAGAAAAAATGATTGAAAAATGATGAAAAATTGGCTTTTTTTTTGCCACAGAAACAAACGTACTGGTGTCAAGAAATGAGCGTTTGTTTGAGAGTAAACTACGCGTAACTAAGTAGACTACGCGACGCTCCTATAGGAGGACTTCTATTTTACGTATTTACGGTAGTTACTTTGTTTGAAATCCTTTAATCAACCTTAAGAATTGTCAGAGTTGAAATTGTCATTTTTTTGCTGAAAAATCCATAAATCTCTTTGTAATCAAATTACTTGAGTAGACCGGACTTGTATTAAAGTAAAGAAATTAATGAAAAAGAATTTGAAACCGGGAATTGAACTCTTGACCTTCTGCTTACCAGACAGATGCTCTACCATTGAGCTATTGACGCCTTCTTTGCCCAAGAAATAGGAAAGATAAGGAAGAAGAAAGAAAAGAAAGAAAGAGAGGAAGATAGAAAGGAAGATAGAGAGGAAAATATATTCAAAAAATCATTAGAAAAGCTGATTTCACTGAGATACCCTTATACTTGCAACCTAATCATTTTTACGATTCAGTCAATCTCTCAAAAATAATTAGGTTTCAAGTTTAAGGGTATTGAAGTCAAATCAGCTTTGATTAGTTTTTCGAGTTTTTTTAAAAAAAAGCTATTGAATCAGAAGTTACTTTTAGCAAAGCGAATCGGAGAAATCGATCGACGAGCTTTCTGCCGTAACGCTCACCCCAGCCATTGTTATCATTTGGATTGCAGGTGCGGGAAGTTTTCATTGGTTCAAATTAGGTAGTTAGAGGTAAAACACCTCCAACTTCAGTCATTTCTCTAGTAGTAGTAAGGGTTTAGAATTGCATACGAATTTGATTCAGCTTTCCTTGTGCTGTCGATCTCGATCTACTCGTTGTGCAAGTTGGCGTGTAAACGCGGGAAATTCTACAGCAAACAAAATTGTCTCAACGCGGCAAGAAGTCGAATTTACAAGGTAACTTGCGAAAATAAGGACGAAAAAATAGTGAGTTTCAAAAATTGGGGGGCTACTTTTTTAGCTGGAATTATTAATGTCTTTGGGTAATAATGGATTGTATGATAACAGCATTGGAGTTAAATTATTGTTGTTTACGCGTGTTGATGTTGATGTTGATGATACAATTTGAGTGGTTGATGAAGTTGATGAAGTTGATGAAGTTAACGAAGTTGATTTAACAATTTATTGAAACAAACGACTGGGCATTCAAATATTGAGCATTCTTTTCAAAATAAAAAGCTCGACAACGAATTTGAACAGAGAGAACAAAGAGAACAAAGAGAACAAACAAACAAACAAACAAACAAGGCTGTGAAATGGCAGACAAATAGGGGTACGGTAGAAGATTCGCACTTTAGAAAACACTTAAGTTAACAAATAAATCAACTGTGGGAACCAATAGATAAACGTAAAATGCTTTAAATTATATTCCCAATCATTATCAAAAAGAAAAACTTTCAGGCTCTGCCTGGGAACAAAGAGATCCATCCCGAGCACAATCAACTCTCCAAAAGCGATCCGGAAAAAGCTGGGTCTGATTTCTCCTCAGAAGTTCGTTACTCAACGACACCGAGGCGAATCGACGGGAAAAATTTGGCAAATCACCAATTGATCCCAGAAATTCCCGACGAATCGGTGATTTATTCGGAAATCGTTCACTCACCGAGGAAAACACGGGAAACTTTGGAAAATGACCCGGAAATCTCGATGATTTGCAAGAAAATCCCATTAAGATTTGCGTAGTGAAAGTGGGGAATTGTTAAAGAGAAATTTTTTGACTGAATGATAATTCAAGGAAAAGAATAATTAACGCGAGACTTTTGATTTAATCTGTAAAATTTTGAAACCCTTGTTTTGGAAGAAAATCAAATTTACCGATTGATCAAATTCTCCTTGTTAACTAACCAATAAACTTGAAATTCGCAATTTCCTAATCGAAATTTACTGCATTTTCTAGTCATTTCTATTATTTTCACAAAATTTACATCTCTTTTATTGATTTTTTTACTGATTTATATCAAAATTTGTCTAAAAACCGGTGTACTTTTACGTTTTGCTAAATTTCTCCGCTTTTGTGCCTTTCTTGAAATGTTGGAGTTGGAAATTGGAGAATTTTAAAGTTCCTTTCAATTTCAATCATCCTTTTTCATTTCAATTTCAATCATCCTTTTTTCTGTATCCAACCATTGAATACGTTTCTCTCAATGAACTTGCCAAGGCTTTATTTGAAAAAAAAACTGTTCGGGTATCTTTTTTTGTGTTGTTCTTTGTATCTATTTAAACTTTTCCAGAGAGTCTTTTCTTTCTTTTTCGTACTTCCATTAAAAATAACAAATTTTCACCAATTAACCTATGGTTTTTTCTAAATAAAAAGTGTTTATTGTTGAATTTCCATCTTCTAAAGTCAATTTTGCTTCACTTACAAGCAAATTCAGAACGAAAAGACGTGTTTTACATAAAAATCTATAAAAACATCTACGAAGAAATTGAGTGAATGAATTTCTTTGAAAATTTGGCTATATACAAAACTTTTTATGCTCTATCTTTTTCTATTGACACGAAGATAGGTTTCTGTGGACTAAAGTGCCTAAACCGACTGGATAAATTAATATTTTGAAGAGAGATTGAAAAATCGTAGGCGTTTTCTTATTAATCGAGCTCATTATACGCTTATTTTGTTCCTTTTGAAACTTGAAGAATATTCATTGCTGTAAAATCTTCATTAGAAGTATAAGATCGGAAAAAACTAGTAGGTTTTTAGAGAAAGTTCTCGGGAAAAGTTTGACTAGAATTTCTTAAAAACGAATCCACCAATTCAAGAACATTTTCTTCTATTATTTACAAGTCGAGTCCAAGAAATTACTCGCAAAAAAGAATGAGTGCAGCTTTCCCTTAATCATTTCATGAGAGATGAATCGGAGCATCTATTGCGAAGTATTATCGAGAGATTTCCCGATTTCACATCAGAGAGATTCTTTGATCAAACTTTGGGAAAACCCAATTTTAATCATTTCATTGGAACATCTCAATATTCGGGAGACAACAAAAGTGAACCGAATAATTCGGACGGCGAAACACAATATTAGGTTGGAAAGAAAGTTCTCGAGAAGTTCAACTGAATAAAGCATATATATTTTGACCTATTATTTACAAGTGGACTTCAAGAAGTTACTTGTAAAAAATGAGTGCCGCTTTCCCATAAAATTTTAGAGATTTTTGAAAAATTATTATTTTCCAGCTTAAATTCAGCTCACTTTTTGCAGCAGAAAAACGATTCCTTATGAGGTAAAGCTAGCATAAATAAGCAATACGCTCTATAATCTCTATCTTTAGCCAAAAATTTTTTTACAGAGAAGCTTTTTCAAAAATCATTTTTTGATGTCATCTTCTCGGCACTGAGTGTTTGCTAAAATAGGTGATTCTGAAAAGTGAAAGCATTAGATCAAATTTGCCTTGATCACAAATTTTCCTGATTTTAAGTACTTCATTTTAGGTTTTGAAATGGGACCCATTGCCTATTCATTAACCAATTAAAAACTTGTCTAAAGACTGGCCACTCAAAAAGTGACCAAGTCACTTCAGCCGAAGAAATCTCTGATTTTTTTGTCAAAAGCTCTTTGAAATATAGTCAAGTCTAGCAAAAAATCTGGAAAGAATTTATGGGTTGGCTTTCGAGAAATCACTGCGCAACCTTTTTCCTAGAACTTTCTTTCCAACCCAATACCACTTTGTTTAATGCACTGAAGTAACTACAGGGTGCGGCAGAAGTATGGTTACAAACTCAGAACCGTGTATCGTAATGAAATATGAACGGATTCATGTAAACTTTATTTAAAATTAACGACAGTAATCATATTCATTTAAAAAATAACAAATTATTCAATATGGGCACCTTTATTCTTGATAACGGCTTTAAGACGCTTTGGATAATTTTCCACGGCGGCCCGCAGGGTACTTTGTGGAATTTCCGCCCAGGCTTTCTTCAGATCCTTTTTCAGACTTTCAACATTTGCATGTTTTGTTGTGCATGCTTTTTGCTCCAAAATTGCCCAAACACAGAAATCCATAACATTGAGGTCGGGCGAATTAGCTGGCCATTCATTGGCGGGAATGAAGTCGGGCAAATTGTTTCGACACCACTCTTGGGTCTTTTTTGCTTTGTGCGCTGGAGCGCCGTCTTGCATCAATGTCTAGCGCTGATTTTGATAATGCCCTTGACTCCACGGCTGTACATGTTTTGTGAGAACGTCCAGATACACGTCTGTGTTAATTTTCAGCCCTTTATCAACGAAAATCAACGGCGTGGGACCAGTGGCTGACACCCCTGCAAAAACCATGACTCCTGCTGGATGTGAGTTTCTGTCCACAAATCGGCCACTTTTATTTGCTTCTTGAGGGCTGTGAGCCAAAATTCGATCATTTTGAGAGTTGAAAACTTGCTCAATGTTGAATAATTTCTCGTCGGTGAAAAGCGTCGTCAGGTGCCCATCATTTGCGGCCATTGCAAGAAGAAGAGCACATTTTTGCTTCCTGTTTCTCATTTGAAGATCTGTCTGGCCATTGCGCTTCCTTAGCTTGTAAGGGTGAAGACCCAGATCCTTTTTGACGATCCGACGGATAGTTCTGTCAGAAACACTCAATTGGGGAGCCATTTTTCTCATGCTCCGGGCAGGATTGCGCTGGATTCGTTTCTTAATGATTTTCTTGAGTCTCGTGTGATCAATTTTTGGCGGATGTCCACTTTTAGGAAGCTCTTCGACTCTATTTTGTTGCAAAATGCAGTATACCGTCATTCCATGCCTTTTCAGCAGTTTGGCAATATCCGAAGTTGATCATCCCTGTGCTCCAAGCTGAAGAATAACGGCACGGTCGGGAGAAGCCTTCGCCATTATGTCCAAACTTAAAAATTTGCTTAAAAACTGCTACATAATATAAAAAAACATTCAAATCAAGAAAAAATAATCCTTTGGCAAGAAATAAAAATCAATCAGTTTCTGAAATCAATGTTACAACCTTGTAACCATACTTATGCCGCACCATGTATAAAGTATGCGCCAAGCATTCGTGGATTCGTTTTTAAGCCATTCAGTCAAACTTTTTCCTAGAACTTTCTTTCGAACCTAATAATTTGGAAGGGACCTTTATCAGGTTAGAACCGCAAGGCTTTGTGTTAGCCCGCTTAGGTACTGCTTAATTCAAAAGAAAGCTTAGCTCAAAATTTAGGTGTTTGATCATATTTTTGAACAAAGTATTTATTTTTAAAGCAAAAATATGGCAACTCAGATACAGTTTGTCGTAAAAGCGTTTCTTTTTTTTCGTTTCTTTTTTCTTCTCGTTTTTCCATTAAATTATTTTGAGCCAAATATTATCAGGAAGAAAACAATGTATGATTCTTTCAAAAAAATGCTTTTTGAATCGAATCATTGTCACAACATAGACCTTTAAATCAGAAAATAGAAATTTGTTTTCTGAAAATTTTTGAAAACAGAAATTGTTTTGAAATTAGAAATTTGAGAAAATGAAGTCCTCAAATCAAATTCCAAAGTCTTAGTATTTATTTCAACACCTTCTCGTTTTTATACTAAACTTTCTCTTTTTACAATTCACATTCTTAAAAATTTGCTTTTTAGTTGTAAATGAAGAAAGAATTCGTTTTCTTGCTTGTGGCTTCACTGGCACAAATTGGGACGGCAAATAAAGGTCCGTTTGTTTCTCGATTACTTTGTTCTTTTTTTTGTTACCCAACTCGTCTACCAGCTGTCTTTTAGAATGGATGGAAGATTGCAAGAACCAGAGTGCAAAAATTCAAATTCATTCGGCTGGTGGCGACTGGAGAAACCTTACGAGCGATGTGACGTCTGAGTAAGCGTGCTTCGTGAAAACCTTAATGAGCTCGGACTCGATCAAGGCTTGCCCGCAGCTATGGTCCGGCCCTTGGCTCAAGGCTTTTTGGTCGCTAGAAAGAACTCATTTTATCTTCATCACTCAATTACAGTCAATATTTTTGGATCGATCGAACGTTCACGTGCACTGCTGATCCAGACCATTACGCGCTTGTTCGAGTGGGAGTTTCTTTTTCAGTTTATCCTCAAAAATGTGTTTCAGATAAACGACATGATGGATTTACCGTTAGAGACAAAAACTATCACTTGTGGACCGCGGCGTAAATGGATGTACAAAGGTGAAGTCGTTCTCAATGTTGGATGCTACACAGGCATAGGGGTGAGTTTTTACGTATAGTTAAAGGTCTTGCGAAAAAAAAGTTGTTAGTAAATCCACGAGAGGCAGCAGGGACAAGAAGCTTTTAGGCAAATTGGGTCCAAAAGTCCGAAGAAGAGGAAAGAATTCGAAATTGGATGAGCAAGCATCACGGAGCTAAAGAGGATCAAAAGGATTGGACATGGAGCAGCACCCAGTATGAACAACAAAAGAAAATGCAGCGAATGGCTTCGGAAATCCAAAATCTTTTGGTCAACAACTATAATATGTAAGTTTTAGCTCACTATCAACGCGAAAAGGGTTCTTTTCCGTTATACATCCGCCAAATTTGCATCCTTCCATGAAAATGAACAAGGAAAACCACAGAAAATAATTTTTCTCTGTTTTCTTAGGGCGCGATGGAATCATGTTTGGCCTACCGACTACGGAAGCTGATGCAATCTCGTTCTTTCAACAACGCCGCATCTTGCTTATTACTCGCACATGCGCCAACCATCGCGTTATGAAGCTATTGCTCAATCAGAACCCCCAATGCGGATGCGACAAAACGTCGTGCTGGACAGCGATCGACCTGCGTGTTGGCTCACGGATGGAGAGCACCAAAATTCCATTTCTCACAATCCTACGATTATGGATGGACTCAACAGTGGACCTCGATCAACTATTGTGCGAAAGAATTGGAGATGAATCACAGAGGCGCGGTCGACTTCAACAACTAAGATTCCTTGCGTGGAATATCTGGTGTGGATATTTAGAGTAGTTTTCCGAGAAACCAAGGAATGTTTTCTGGTCGAGGTGGAAGACCACTCGAGGTGGAAGACCACGCGTCATTTCCTACCGAACTACCTCGCGGTTCGACAAGAAGTGGGAAAGGACGATTTTCTACGAATGGGTCTTGCAACAAATTGCTACGGCATGGATTGAGCCTCATTGATTCCTCATTGATTAATAATCAGGGGTTATTTTTATGAATGTATAACGGAAAGGAACCGCGAAAAGTTTCTGAATACAACTTTGACTTGCAATGTTTTCTGTAATTTTCAGAATCAGGAAGCAAGTCGCCGTTGTACCGGCGGACTATGTGGACGCTTGGCCGGAATCGTGGAGCTTGATCCAATTCAAGTCAGCGAACAACTACTACATGAGAACGGCTTTCGTTGGCTTTGGAGACGATAGCTCTGTGCTGGAATTTGCGAACTATGTAATATTTGTGTTTCGTGGTGGCTTTCCGGACAGATCAAAACCTGATGCAAAAGAAGATATCAGGTCAGGCGAGTATTTATTAGGCTGGCTAGTAAGTAATGGTGGATTTGGTGGGAGCTGCTCTCAAACTTAATCAATCTTTGGTCTTATTCAAAAGCTGTATTCAAGAGGAACACAGTAGCGAACACCTTTTTGTTGATTCGTTCCGTTTTCAAATTTTTATAAGCATTTAAATGGTACATAGTCAGCTTGGTACCCAAAAAAGTGTCAAAATCACATTTCAGGATCACTAAATTTTAGCTGGGCGGTTTGGCGGCTCGTTGATGCGAGAGTCGAGGGTTCGACTCCTAGCTGTGACCAAGTTTGGAACTTTTTTTGCAAAAAGACCTAGCAAGGAGATGCCACAAAATGGTATTAGCAGATATTGACGCCGTTGAAATGCAAACGCCAAGCGGGCACGGTGAATCCGATTCTGTATTCAGTTTTTGTCCAGATTCAAAAACACACAAGAAAAACGCATCCAAAGCTTGGGTGTCTACTCGGGGAAATCGTGCCGCGGGAACAAACATATTTTTAGCCTAGGTTTTTAACCGAAAAATTGACGAAATGTGGTTTTGACATTTTTTTCGGTCTGACCGAGCTCACTTAAATGCTTTTAAAAATTTGAAAACCGAACGAATCAAAAAGATGGTTTTTGCTACTGTGCTCCTATTGAATACAGCTTTCGAATAAGATCAAACACGTTAACTTTGGTTTGGTTTGAGACCATCAATCCCTCATTACTTGTTAGCCAGCCTAATATTATGGACTAGCTTGTTATAATCAAGGTCGGGCCGCAAACCCAAACAATTTTTTGAAAATTCAATTAAAGGTGTTCTTTAACAGTTCCTAGTAAACGGTTATGAATAGTTATCAATAAAAAAATGTAATTTTGAGGTAAAAATAAAATCAAGGGCAGGTTAGGATCTGGCCGGGATCGGGCCTGGCTTTTTTCGGCACAACCCACAATGGTTTGAGAAACTGGTGTTTTGGTGGTTTGGGGGGCCACCTATATTTTTGATTTTTCCACTTTTCTTGAGGTAATCGAGGACTCGAGCAATTAAATCGAGGTAATCGAGAAAATAAAATCAAAAGCACGTTAGGGTCAGGCGGGGATCGGGCCTGGCTTTTTTCAACCCTGTTTACAAGGGTTTGAAAAATTTCTTTACATTTCTTTGCTTTAAAACTTAAGCTGGCGATCACTGGTCAGAGTCAGAATTGAGATAATACTTCATTTTAGACATTACTTTCAAGATGAGTTCAAATCGAGAGAACGTCACGACGTGATCCATTCGCTAGCAGAGCGTGCAGCGACTTATGGTGATAAATGGGAAGGACGTGTCGACATTGTGACTGTTTTTCGAAAAGGAGCATATGACAAAACGTGCACTTATCTCTATGGAGCATCTGGTGATTGGATGCTTTCTGAGGTGAAGACGTGGAGTCGGCCATGTCAACGATTTGGACTTGGATTTAGATTTGGATTTAAATGTGGAGCTGTTTGTGTTGTGCATTTAACGGCCTGATATTGTTTGAATAAAGGAATACATGAAAAAGATTCCAAGTAACGAAAGAAAACAGGAAAAAAGAAATGCGGCCTTAAAACAAAGTCCCTAAATTTTTAAATGACTTTTCATGGAGTTGACATTTTAAAATTGAATAATAATAGATTACATTCACATCTTTAAAATAGTTTTCTCAACTAGATTTCATTAATTCTACTCGGCTTCCTTTAAAACTTCAAAAATGTCTCCAAATAACCAGCAAAATCACAAAACGAGAAATGAAAATCTTTGTGCTTCTTCTTTTGACTTTATACCTGGTTATTTCAATAGTTCAAATAAGTCAAATGAGTAATTTTTGGTGGTTTTAAGTATCTATTAGGTTTGAAAAAAAGTTCTCGGGAAAGGTTTGACTGGAATTTCTTCAAAACAAATCCACCAATCCAAGAACAATTTCTTCTGTTATTTACAAGTCGACTCCAAGAAATTACTCTTTAAAAAAATGGGAACTTTCCGATAAAATTTTAGAGATCTTTGAAAAATTATATTTTCCAGCTTAAATTCAGCTCACTTTTTGCACCAGAAAAATGATTCCTTATGAGGTAAAGCTAGCATAAATGAGCAAGACGCTCTATAATCTCTATTTTTAGCCAAAAGATTTTAACAGAGAAGCTTTTTCAAAAAATAATTTGGGTGTCACCTTCTTGGCACTGAGTGTTATAGGTGATTCTGAAAAGTGAAAGCATTGGATCAAATTGGCCTTAATCACAAATTTTTCCGAGAATTTTCTTTCCAACCTAATACCACTTAATGTACTGAAGTAACTATAAAGTATGCGCCAAGCATTCGTGGATTCATTTTAATGAAATTCCAGTCAAACTTCTCCCTAGTATTTTCTTTCCAACCTAAATAGGTTTCATCTTACTAAAATGTGCAAATGTTAATAAAATACAACTCAGAAAGATCGAAATCAAACAAAAAAGACTTTAGAAAATATATAAGAGAAACAAGGCACTTGATTCAACAATTGATTTGATTTTCAAAGAGACCAAAAATTTCAAGTTTATATCATATTAGACTTATAATACGGTAATCATTACATTGATATCGATATCAATAACATTGATCAATATCAATAAAATCGATCAAGACGATGATTACATTGATCAGTAACAATAAAATATCAATACCAATTTTACGAGTATCCAAAATTTTAGTCTCTATTTATTTTGTTCAAATTGAAACCATCATTTTTTTCCTTTTAGTCAACAAATCTCTCGAGATCCGAGGTCAAAGTACGGCTTTTCGGCTTTTTCGCTTCTTGTTGTCAAATTCTGGAAATTTATTTTAATTCAAGATTTTAAAAAAACAAATCTCTAAAGATACTGTAAAAGCTCTCATTCTTGATGTTGAGCGGTTGAATTTATAAATTATTGGTATCACTGGATGCGCCAAGTTTTTCTCTATCGATTGGTACAAAAACTATTTCACAAACAACCCAACACCAAGCTCAAAGTTGGATGAAAGTTGATCCCAAAGCTCAAAGATTTCAGTCTCATATCTCGAGACACCCCCTCCCCCAACCCAAATTTTCTCTATTTGAAGCGTTTTCACAGTTTGTTGGCAATTAAAATGTTGTTTTTGGAGATCAGCGTATTCGAAAATCTAAATTGATATTGTTGATTCCAAAAAAAATAACAGAAATAGCTTTGAAAATAAAAATTAAGAAATTTATGTCTCCCAAATTTCGAAACACCTTGACAATAAATGCTCATTAACACAGCAAAAAGCAATATCAAAAATTTGAGTAAGCGTTTTAAATTCATCTAAGAATCAATTGGTTGTCCTTTTCTTTGAATCAAGTCGTGAATTCGTGAATTCATCGAAGAAACGTGATTGAGTTTAAGTGTCAATTGGTTTCATTCAGCCTCAAACGACTTTTAAGATCATCAACCTTATCATACTGCTTTTCACCACTATAAACCCGTCTTGCTAAGACTCCGCACAAGTTTTCGATGGGATTGACATCAGGCGAGCACGCCGGCCAATCAATTAGCGGAATATTCTGCTTAGTCAGGCAAGTCAGGCAAGCTTTTATCGAGTTGCTCACGTGAATGTTTGCACTATCTTGTAAAAATGATATAAACTTGAAATTTTTGGTCTCTTTGAAAATCAAATCAATTGTTGAATCAAGTGCCTTGTTTCTCTTATATATTTTCTAAAGTTTTTTTTTGTTTGATTTCGATCTTTCTGAGTTGTATTTTATTAACATTTGCACATTTTAGTAAGATGAAACCTATTTTGGTTGGAAAGAAAGTTCTAGGAAGTTTGACTGAAATTTCATTAAAATGAATCCACCAATGCTTGGCGCATACTTTATACAGTAGGGTCCAAAAGTTTGAAACAATCACCTTCCGGCAACTTTAGCTCGATGAAACTTGCGTTAAAAAAATTAAAAAAAAATTTTTTTTTTTTTTTTTTTGAATTTTAAAAAAAATTAAAATTTATTTAAATTTTAATTTTTT